AACATTTGATACTCCTCATGACGCACCCTTCGCCTAATCTATTAGCGCGGTATCTCGCTATGGTCCAAAATAAGAATGGAATAGTGAAAATATAAATAAATTAAAATTTACACGTAGCAGCATAGAACCGCTTTTATGAAAACGAATGAGAGAGCTTAAGGTCCTACCAGTGTCCATGCTTTTTGTTGGGTGGGAATAAGGTTTCTTAATATCAAACACCAAGCCAGTTGGCAGCAGTGTTGGAACCCCTCATGTTATGAGCTTAATTTCTTTCATTACGTATACGTGGTGGGCAAGTACACATACAAGTGAGGAAAACAGGAAGGAGGAGTTCGAACACCCAACCATTAGCACTCTGTATGACGAAGAAAATTCTTACTTACAAAAGCACTCCGATAAACTTATTACTGCTTGATTGAACGTATAAAAGGTCGGTTTATTTTTGGATTTACAGTGTTGCTAACGAATTATGACATAACGTCAGTTTCCTTTGAAACGTAACAGGGGTCGGGAAAAGTTTCGTTGTTCGGTTATCATTGCTTGCCCTGAAAAAGTTCAATCTTGACGCGAGTCTAAAAGTGGGAGATTAAACAATTAAGAAACTGCTGTAATATCAACATCACCAAAATTAGATCGGATAAAGGGCCGCCACGTTTAATTATTGTGGATTTTAGTCAAATTCGCTCGATTTGGATTAAAATTTTCACCAGACGCGTAAAATTTGGTGATTTAGACATAGGTATAAGACGTTATTGATTCCTGAGCGCTACTTAATATTATTAATGTCGCAATCAGGATATAATTAATGAATCTCTCTGAAGAGGCTTAACGTTATAGTTATAATGAAAATACTTCCTTTATCACGGAGACATATTGTTGCGTTATGAATGCTTTGGTGACAGTGAGGTTATTGCTTTCCAGATAGCGACATTTTCCGTTACCTTTAGAAATACCATGCGATCAAAAAGAGTTGCTGTCGAGTCACCTTTGGAATTTTTGTTTACATGGAAAATCGTACTTAAATGGAACTTCCAAAGGCGACTCGATCGCCATTCATTTTTGATCGCCAGTTATTATGTTTAGGAGACAGGGTATACTTTTTACCTACATATCCTGGTCGATTCAGTGGTTTTAATATAACTTTTTGCTTACAAGAAACTAGTAAGACTGGGTCTAGCTAAATCCACTAGGTAGATTGCAAGTTCGCGCATAGTATACGTGTTAGAATTTTAAGCAGTCGTCAGAAAATGTGGGGAATCTAAGAACTCCGCGCATATCAGAGGTAGTAACTACGAGGAATTTGAGAGTACTTAAAGGAACTCACTATAAGTCATGTCCAAGATTTTGATGACGGTTTGTTCATAATTTCAAGTGAAAGCGAAAGATACACTTTTAACTTTAAACAAACGTTTATTTATATTTATTTATGTAAATAATAGTTACCTATAACCACTACCTACATTTATTCACAATTAAGTCGTCCAATATTATCTGCATCGCGTCTGGTCCTCTTGATGGATCAGGCATGCTTCAACATTGGATTTTTCGGGGGTAGTTGCTCGTATCTTCAATAGTCCTGTAAACATTTAAATTTACTTCATTTTGCGGATAATATACCATCATCTTACCTTCTTCATACAATAATCTGAACGAATTAATTTAAGCGTTCCGAAATTGATAATCAAAAACAACCTCCAAGATCGCAATTTTACCGTTTCTATATCCATTTTTCTCAATAGTCTTAAGGCCACGGCGATATCAACATTCTTGATGCTTTGGCGTATTTCCGTGATGTCTGATCTTATTTAAACAATTTTCGTTACGAAATTGTCTCCTACTTCCCCTAAAATTTGGATAAGTAGCGGAAAACCATAGCATGGGCAGAATCTTTGAAAAAATGGGTAAGCCTAGACAATCCCTGCTCATATGATCTTACCTGTGCTCCAGTGGTCGACTTTAAATATTCTAAACGTATTTTCTCAAGCATGGAGCTTTGTCGAAAAAATGGTCAAATCATTACGTCGGAACTGTAAGGATCAAAGAGCATAAATGTACCAATTTTAATAGCTTTACACAAAAGTGCAAATCTCAGTTTAGGACCTAAATACCCAAACTAATAACCAATCTGGTTTTTAAATAATGTCCGGATATAAATTTTGAATAATGTATCTTTTTCGTTAGGCGATCCTGTATCTTATACTGTACACTGGCCCATTTTTCCCGCTTTCCTTTTACCCTGCAACTGTAAAACTGGCTTACGGTATTTTTTATCTATTATCCCCCAAGCAAGAATGGCAGCCCATACGAGGTTATATGTATAAATAGACATTCCTTTTTGTTTATTTTATAATTATTGTAATTGATAATCGTATTAGATATTGTTGATTAATTGGCAAAACCACATAGTATCAAATTAGCTTAATCGTATTCGTTATATTTATAACGGTACTAGATTTTTCCCTCGCGGTTTTGTACACTCGCTATTGATGGATATATGATAACGGAAACACATCGGCACGGTACCACGCAAATAACTTGGTGCAGGTATCGACGGGTACGCGAAATAGCAGAGTTGCGGCATCAACGAAAAAAGACCAGGGACACACAAAGACACCAAAAAATCCGTTTAGCCGTTTCGGAAAAAGTTCATTCATAACACACGCACAGAAGAATTTTGTATATAAATTAAAATTGCGTCGTTTGGTCTAATGCATTTGTGTCTTGGCTCCTATCTTCAAGAGAGAGAGAGAGAGGTTTACACTATTTACATAAAAATAAAAGCTGTTTTTAGTTTCATGTGATCGCCGTCAGGGCGAAAACGATACTGTCGTAATAAACGTATTTCGAAAGGATTTTTCTGTTTTGACAAGTACAGGGTGGGGAACATGAAATGTGGTGTCATTAACTTTTTGATTCATGGATTTTGTTTTGTTTGAAAATCGTTACGGTACTGTGTACACCCTGTATTAGTAATAAAAACTCAAAGCATAGATCTGATAGGTGGCTGTTGGGTCCTATTCAAACCTGCTGAGCTTACGATGTCGGTCTTCTTTTCTTTTGTGCTGAACTCTACTTATTTTTTTATTCATTACAATACCGTTTCTTTAGCTGATATACCTAATTATTTATCTTCATTTCGAGTATAAATCTCAGTTGCAGTAGGGAACCACGTTTTGTTGTGGTTAAATAATTTGCTGATAGGTCACCGTTTCACGATTTCAAGTGTATATACGCAAAACTTGACGATGATTTTCTGCTCTCGAGATTCAGGGAAATTGTAAAGGTTAGCCCTCCGTAAGTACGAATTCGCCGTCGCATCGTAGAATGGAGGTACTTTAGCGCGGGTTGAAAGAAATCATCAATCTTATTAAATTTTCTGTATTCATTGCAAAATTGGATGCCGATAGCTTTACTCGATTAATTTAAAAGGGAATTTAGACGATATAATAAAGAGAAAAGAAGTTGTTTTATATCTGGGTAGAACCTACAGCTATAAAAATTAATCAGGAAGTCAATTACTGCAAAGCGGATAGAATGAGCAATCGATGAATATTTTATATAAGCGAATATCCTCAAGTTTGCTTCACAAAACTTTCTCATTAAGGGTAATGAATCATTATTTCCTTAAATATAAATTAAACAGGATGGGAACACAGAAGGAAAAATTCGGAAGGAGGCGAAGAAAAATAAAAAAAATTTTAAATCAAATTTTAATGAAAGTTTTCCGCCGGATAACAATTTTAACAAACTTTATCCGTTGGTTTATTAATCTTTCACGGAGTTTTTCATGTTAGCGGGAGCAAGAGGTACGAGATAGAACAAATCAGCAAATTTCGCTTTTTGGAGAATTTTTCAAACGCTGAACTTGGTAATGAATTTATGTCTTTGTTGGATTGAATAAGTAATTTCTCTGATTCGTGTTAAAAAAACGCCATTTTCACCTTTTGTGGGATACAAAAAATCTACGTTTACATTTGGTGTATAACTTATTTTCTCAAAACAAAACCATTTAGAATTGATACCGCAAGAAGTACCGCAGCGCCTTAAATAATATGAACTCAGGCGGTATACGAATTGATTTTAGCATACTCGGATAGACCCAAAAATTTATATCTTAAGCAAAATCTTATTTTCAAACATAATCACACTGAATACTTTTGATTTAGTTCAGTGACTCCTGGAAAAAGAAAAATTCTCCGCCTAGTTGTGTAGCATTTCAGTAATACCGTGCGATCAAAATGAAGTTGCTGTCCGAGTCAACCTTTGGAACTTTTTGTTTACATGGAAAATCGTATTTTAAACTTTGAACTTCCAAAGGCGGCTCGACAGCAACTCATTTTTTTGATCGCCCGTTACCGCAAGTAATGCTTATGAGGAATTAAAATAAAGTTACACAATCTAGGAAAAAGTTTCTGAATTTTAAGGATCTCATTGCTCATCTGCATGAAGAAGTTATAACGCTTATAGATTTTGCGGTATTGCTGTAATGTTGGTTTGCATACCGTTAATTTGGTTACAAAAGTGGTTCATTTCTTGCTGTCAAAATATGCTCTTTTTCGTCTCTATAATCTAATCAACGATAACAGACACGCCAGCCTTGTTGCCCAAGTTGGTCTACTGCCACTCTCTGCGTTTGTTTAATAAACTCGCTCTTGCGTATGTTACGGGCGGCGATTATTCATAATGATCGATTATTGTGAAATATTGAGGAAGGAACATTTTTTTTAACAGCCCCCTCGAAGGATTTTTTTAAATTCAATAATCAATATCTTCTTAGTTTCATAAATGACAGGTAGTTTGCCTTCTTCCTAAGTCCCTCAAAACCCGGAAATTCACCCTAAATTTATCAACATCGGGCCATTAATTACTTTTATATTATGGAAAAGATCGTTTTCAACAATTGTGAGCAACCCTGGGTACGTTCCGGCTTTTGCCCACAGCCTCGGGTAGCGTCGGGAAATAATTGGCGAGCAAAGAAAAGTAAAAGTGTATTGTCTAAATAGAAATAAAAATATATATATACAAAATAAAATAATATAAAAGATTTCCGGAGCAGTCCTCGTATTTACTTGGGGAGTACTGCCATCTGCCGGTAGTTATCTGGCCCCAGCGTGTCAGCTGGTTTGCTGTCAATGCCGTTTTCGTGTCGGACGGTAGGTTAATTTCCACGTGCAGTGCTGTCTAGAATGTAACAAATTAATTGATGCGGGATTGAGGGCTGCGCCACCCGAACGGGGTAACCAACAGAACCTGCGGGGTGAGTGTTCGAACTGTAACAACTAACCTTTCACGTGACGGCTTTCAGCCCCTTATGGTTAACGTAGGCGGGAGCACTGTGCCCCAGGTTAGGCAGGACGGGGCGACGGGAAGATACTACGGAGGTGTACTTCGTTTAAAACCAGGAGTCACGCTCCGATTTTGTTTTGAAGACACGGACAGGTAGGAACATACGGAGAGTAGCTGGTAATCTTGAGGAATACTTGTTGTAGTAACCCGTTCGCTAGGGAGTACACCTAGGAACTGGAATTACTCGGGGAATTGGGAACTGGTCAGAGTAATAGAGGTAACGGCTTGCACGTTTTAATAAAGGGTTGAAAGATTGTTGTTTTAATGACACTATAAACACTCACTCACCTCGACGGCTAATTACGATTAACCCCCTAGGGCTAACGGCAACACACTCAACACAAGGAACGACAGGGGGTGCAGGTTAACAACGGTTTTACAGGAAATGGAACGACGGTTAAAGGTGCAGTAATCAATGACAGGTAAATAAGGCTGGTTAATAGCAAAAGGCACTGGTAAAGGTAGAAGCAAAAGTTACAAACACTGGACTGACACAGGTATATATAGCTTGGAGATCTGGTGGGGAAGACGATTAGGAGGGGCGAAATTAAGTGGAAATATCTGGGGGAAATCTCATTTACTGGTTTGGGCAGATTATTTCCTCACCCTTAATTTCGTTTCCTCACACACGTTGCTTAACTCTGAACTTATTTCTTCGCTGTTCAACGTTCGTTTTTTGCTTTTCTCTTGGAGGTTCCACTATGGTATTTTCGTCCATTCTGAGATGTCTGCTTTCAAAATTTCAAACGATAAGTACAGGTGCCGTATCTACAGACACCGCTGGAGATACATTTAAACTCATTTAGTTATTAAGTTTGATTAGCGATTTCTATTCTTTGTGTATGAATCCGCCTTGTTTGAATGACGGTAACTGTTTCGTCCATGCAGAGGTAAATGCTAGAGTGTTAAAAGTACTTAGTCGCATTCATCTCGAAATACAAATTCAGTTTAAGGTTACCGTATTCAGGACCTTCAGATATCTTCTGGACTGCAGAAGGTCCCGCTAATTAGTGTTTCATGAAGGTACTTTATGTAAGAGACTTCGGAATTTTATGTTTCACAAATGGGAAACGGGTGGAGTTGCTTTTAAATCTCTTTGAGCTGGCTACTTTTGAGCATATCAAATTTCGAATTAAATTAAGGTCAGGTTTAAATGATATGATATGATGATTTAAATTCAATAGTTACTTCCTCGGATTGTTAATTTTGTATGTTGTAGATATTGGTCCGAATTTTTCACATATGGGTACCTATTTACCGCCTGTGAACAATGTTATCTGTTCCTTTAGTAACGCAAACTATGTAAATAATTAACACAAACGTAACATTGAAGGAGTTCGGGAAATTTTCAATTTTTTTCAGTATTTTTTATATAAAAATTACATTTTTTGTACATTTTTGCCGGGGCCCCCCTTTTAGGTCGGGGCCCGTCCTCATTGCGTACCTTTGAGACATTGTAGTTACGCCACTGCGTTCAATTGACACATTTGCTACGCTCATGTGTCAAACTTTGAACTCGAGTTGAAAAACTTCATTTTCTTCCCTTATAGTTGTACAAATAACCAGGGCCGAAATAAGGTTTGTCCGGGCCCTAGGCACAATAAAATTTTCGGGCCCCTTTTCATAAATTATAATAACTCGTGTTCCAGCACAGTTGTGTACTTTTTCGCATATACGTTAAACCGTTCGTAGCTCCTTCTAAATATTAATTCAATTAACCGGGTCAAAAATATGCCAAAAGTGAAAGCCATCTATGTCTATAAATCTAAATCTAAAGTCTAAATTTTTTAATTGCAAATTTGGAGAAATACATAGGTAATTGTTAATTGTTTTTCCGATACCTAATTAGAGATAGTTTCATCCTAATATGTTGAGGAATAAAGGTTTTTTTGTGTGGATGGTTGATTGTGCATTTGTTTGCTTACTTTGCCTTTTTTTCAGCTTTTTTGCCCGTTTTGATGCATATAATAAGCGCTTATTATATAAAAATGAATGCATTTTTATCCGCACTCTAGTTTATTTAATATAGTATATAAATATAGCGCAAATTTTTAATGTAAAGAAATAAAGCAAAAAGTACCTGTACGGCCTGTACCTATCCCTACCTATATAGTGTAAAATTGTTGTGTCGTGTACTTTAAAATCTCACACGTTACGTTACGTGTCCTTAATTTTTCCGGGCCCCCATCCTTCCCGGGACCTAGGCCAGGCACCTGCCTAGTGTGCCGAATGGGTAATTCGGCCCTGCAAATAACCATTACCGTTTGTGTGTATGTACGTGCGTAGGTACGTTAGCAATTTTCCGGGGTAGATAACGGTTCGACGGATTTTGTTAAAACTTTGGATATGTACCTATATTGGGCATACGGAAACGAAAAATAACGAGCCGGATTTTTGAAAAATTTTGGAGCGCCGCAACGGCATCGAACTTTTTTTTTCCAATAGCAGCCTAAAATTTTTATGAAAATATTTTAAAGACCTTATTTTTCTGTGTATAACCTATAAAAATTGTGCCAGGTTTAAATTTTAAAAAATGTCAGGGTTAAATTTTGATTTTTTTTGCTACACATTTTTTTATAAAATAGTCACAAATAGTATGCACCATGATCATATTTTTGTTTACAACAGGAAAAAGATCTTATAGTGAGTTTTATCCGCTATTTTGACCGCCATGTTGATTTGGGGCTTTAGCAACCGGATTCAGAAGTGTTTACAGGCAAAATAGGATTTAGTAGGGTCCAATTACCATAAAAACACTTTGTCACCAAAATGACCAAATTATTGTCTCAAGATTTGCCGTTAGAAGAAGATCTCAAAATTGTCGCCCAGACTTAACGCCGGTCAAGAAAAGTTCAGACGATAAGAAAATCCTACTTTGAACATTTTAGCGATTGAAGAGTAATTTCAACTCAAGGTGTTTATCCACTTGAGATTACCATGCCATATAAATATTTATTTGAAATTGGTCACCTTAGCAATGAAATGGTGCATTTGCATTTCACCTCAATATTATTACACCATAGGTACTCTTACTCTATACGAAATCTAATTCCTTGCAAAGGAAACTGTGAAGCATCTGTAAAAGACCACGAGAGAATTGTTCAAAGATCAGGGGAAATTTAATTTTTATGAGTGCAGTACAAAAAACCCATTGAACATTAGTTTAGGTGCGTAAAATTTTACGTTACGTGGACGAACGGGCAAAGTGGAAAATCGCAAACAAAGAATATCGCAACGGCACGGCGCGGCGGCGGGCGTTATAAGTTGTTTACTCGATAAAAGGTCATTAGCAATACACCACCTGTTTGTGATTTCTGACAGGAAAATCTGTCTAATTAATTAATAGCCCAAATGAACTTTTCACAAATGGGTTGATTGAACGAAGTATGTTTTAATTATAAATAGAGCGATTGATAGCTAACAGATAAAGCAAAGGCGAGAGCCTGCAATAATTACTAACATTTTTAAAATTTTCCTCGCCCTAAAACTCGGCAATGGCCTCAAGTAAGCAGAACAAAGTGGTTTTACCGTCGTCGTCCACCCGTCGCTTGTATCCCCCACCCCCGAAGACGCGCAACTCCGCGTTTTTGATCTCCACCGCGCGCGCCTCTCATTCGAGAATTGACCGTAATATAGAACGTTTCGTGTTGCTACTATTTTTAAAACCGCGCCTGCCTTTCTTTCACTCTCGTAAAAGAGATTTCTGTGCAAAATCGTTGGCGTCGTTTGTTGCGTTGATGAAAGTCATGTGTGGTGCGATCCGGCGTGTTTTTGTGGTTTTCGCGGTGTTTCGGCGAGCCTGAGGCAGCAAGTGAATCGGCCAGTAAGGGAATACGCGCCCACCAGTGACGTGTTTATATACATATTGCGATAAACCTTTGTGTTTTTTAGTGTCGTATAGCGACTTTGGAGAGTCTATTTTGGTTTCTTTACAAACATTTTTACTGCCACGTAGCAGTGTGAAGTGTGCTATTTTTATAACCGTTCGCTTCGCTGTGTGTGAGCAGCAGGGCTTCGTTGCTGGAAAACGGCGGTCAGAGTGGTCGTTGTCTGCCATTTTCACTTTATCGGTGTATCGTTTTAGTGGATACAGGTCTCGATTGTTACTAATCGAATTAGCTTTGCTTTATTTTTGCCTAAAACAAGTGAACGTGCGCGTTTTTGGGATTACCTACTTTTCCATTGGAGTGACTTTAATTAAGACATCAGAAAACGTGAGTATTCATTTCTAAATCATACTTGCTCCCAACGGATTTGCATTGTTTATAACAGTATTTTCGTCGAAAAATCTTCGCATTTAATTAGAACCGTGGTGGAATGAGATTGTTACAGATGTGAGACACCTGTTTCGGCTACTAATAAATTAAGGGGGTTAGAATTCCCCTAATATAAATAGACGTCGAGTGGACCTGTCCCTAAATTGTCAGTAATTTTGCAATACCTCCACAATACGTCCCCTTTGCATATGAGGTAGATTTAAACTAATTAAATGGAGCATTAAACACTTAAGACAGTACCTACCTATGCGAAAAAGAACGCCTTTGGCTTTAATTGAATGTTTCGCTGGTTTGCGTTCAGGAAATCGTCAGTACAGACACGCTGTTATTATAGCTACCTACATTATATTTGAACTCATTAACTGAATCTCCGAACTGCTGTACCGTTAGGCGCTTTCGGAATTTTACCCTTTTTATATTAAGTAACATTGTAATAAAGATATTATCAATACTTATTGCTCCCTCGGTTATTTATGGCGTCTTTGTAACGAAAATGGCGGTTTCGATTCTGTCAAAAGTGTTAACCTGCAACGTTCAAAGTTTACTCGACCATTTTTAACAGTTCAAATGGTCGAATCGAAGTGTAAAAATAAATAAAAATCGTTCCCCTCCTGTTGCAGAGTGCCAAGGTTGGACCTCCTCGAAATCACTTTGCCGAAACAAGTTTGCTAGTGTGCATTATGTTTTTAGGAATGTGTTTGTAATCGTATGATGCGTGCATTTTTTTTTTGATAAAAAAAAACGTGTGTTCGAGACTGACATATTTGAAATTGCGCTCTCCGAGGTCGTAATACAGGTACATATTACCTTTTGATTCTTGAAATTTCATCTTCTGAGAATCATGCTTCAGAATGAAAATATGCCAATAATCATAAATCGGTTAATGCCCATTAAAATTTAGAATTTGCTCAGAAACTTAGAACAAATTCTCAAATTGTTGAATTTTAAAAGAACAGTAGTCTTCTAGATGTGCGATTTATAAGCACATTGAAAATTGTGCCGAGGAAGAGCACGTTGCGGAAGGTGACTGCATCTGTCTAAATGAGGACCACGCAGCACAAATTTTTATTGTAAAATAAAAGTTTCAATAACACTTTGGTCAGACATGTCAATTGGTTATTTCCTGTTTAGCCGCCAATACTCATTTTAGCTTCCTATAGCAATTGAGCTGCGATCACCGTTTTGGGGGGTGCAAACATTTCATCAAATGTCGACGTTTTAGATGATTTTAAGCAACCTCTAACTCTAAAGAATAGCATTTTTTTCTCTCCGAATGTAGATATTGTGTAGGTACTCCCTGGTTCGAGAGTGGTTAAAATTCGTGGCTCATTGAGATTTCCCGGTGAGAGATACAGCGTTGTTTAAATGGGGGCAAAGTTGTCTCTGTTTGTTATTTAAAAAAAATGCATTTTTGAAATTTTTGAAAATAACTGAGATAGCACCGAAAAACTAAAAATGTCAAATTTCGTTTTCATTTTCCCTGGCCTAAACAGTCGGAAATGGACGATTCCCGTTAGCAACTTCTATGGGCCGTTTTTTTCAGAGACTGAATCTGTTATCAGAATTTCCATAACGCGCTAGATGCTATTATACTTTCTTATTTCTTATGGGCGCCATATTGAATTTTTACGGACAAAACTTGACGAATTTTGACTTGTTGCAAATTTTCGATACGTTTATTAAGCATACGGAAATGAAAAATAACGGGGCGGATATTGAAAAAAAAATTTATAGCGCCGTAACATCATCGAATTTTTTTTCAAATATTTTTTATCAGATTATTCTTATTTTCTTGTTCTTATTTTTCTGTGTTCACGGAGAAAAAATATGTCAAAGTTAAGAAACTAAATTAATTTCCGAGAATTTCGTTAAAATTTAGCAAATGTACATACATTAGACTTAAAGGATGTAAGACCTTATTTAGGTATGTGGTAAGCGCTCAGATGGCGTTGCGCAGTTTGCCCATGAGCACATCTGATTTTAACAATATAGTCTAGGTGGCGATAGAGACTGTAAAATTGGCAAACTGGACATTTTGAGGTGGAAAAGAAAAAAATGGTGGAATATGTTCAGTTATAGGTGTCAGAAACAACACATTAAAAATCCCACCCCCCAGACCCTGTGCTAAAGGCTCCAGCCACCCCACCACCCCCCAAAAACCGTGTTTTCGCCCTTTTTGGCTGATATCTCGCGATCTATGAATATATGAAATATTTTTAGCTGAAAATGCTACTCGTGAAATTTCATACAAGATAGATACTCAGAAGTTAGCCTAGGTGTACCTCTTAGCCTAGGACATTCATAAAAGAAGCTAAAATCATCAATTTTCGTGACTTTTTGCGGTTTTTTGCAAATATATCGCGACCTTTAGGGCTAGATGAAATGTTTTTAGCTGAAAATGCTACTCGTGAAATTTCTTACAAGGTAGACACTCAGAAGTTAGCCTAGGTGTAACTCTTAGCCTAGGAAATCCATAAAAGAGGCGAACATCATCATCAATTTTCGTGACTTTTTGCGGTTTTTTGCAAATATATCGCGACCTTTAGGGTTAGATGAAATATTTTTAGCTGAAAATACTCCTCGTGAAATTTCTTACAAGGTAGATACTCAGAAGTTACCCTAGGTGTACCTCTTAGCCTAGGATATTCATAAAAGGCGTTGAAAATCATCAATTTTCGTGTTTTTTTGTGGTTTTTTGCAAATATATCGCGACCTTCAGGGCTAGATGAAATATGTTTTTAGCTGAAAATGTAACAAACTCTGCGTCCAGTGTCATGGAACATCGTGCCTAAATGCCACGCCGTCTCTTCAGGGTATACCCATGCAGGTAAAGCGGAAGACGAGGAGAACTACGAGTCGGTAATTTCAGACGACCCACTACCACTAGAGGACGTCGAAGAGCCTGAAGAAGTGGAATCTGATTACGTTGAGGTATAAATGAATGTGTGAATATTTTAATATGAAAATGCTGCTCTACGTGAATAAATGGTACATAGAAATACTTTGTTTTACAATGAATATTTCCTCACACATGAAAGTTGAAGGTGAAAGGTGACTTTACGCCAATTCTTCAGTTACCTACCTCGTATGAAATTGCACGAAGGGCATTTTCAGCTAAACATATTTCATCTAGCCCTGAAGGTCGCGATATATTTGCAAAAAACCGCAAAAAAACACGAAAATTGATGACTTTAGCTTCTTTTATGAATTTCCTAGGCTAAGAGGTACACCTAGGCTAACTTATGAGTATCTGTCTTGTAAGAAATTTCATGAGAAGCATTTTCAGCTAAAAATATTTCATCTAGCCCTAAAGGCCGCGATATATTTGCAAAAAACGCAAAAAAACACGAAAATTGATGATTTTCGCCTTCTTTTATGAATTTTCTCGGCTAAGAGGTAGACCTAGACTAACTTTATCAGTATCTACCTTGTAAGAAATTGCAAGAGGAGCATTTTTCAGCAAAAAATATTTCATTTAGACCTCATAGATCGCGAGATATCAGCCAAAAAGGGCGAAAACACGGTTTCTGTGGGGTGGTGGTGGGGTGGCTGGAGCCTTTAGCACAGGGTCTGGGGGGTGGGATTTTTAATATGTTGTTTCTGACACCTAACTGAACATATTCCACCATTTTTTTCTTTTCCACCCCAAAATGTCCAGTTAGATGTCTTTATCGCCTAGACTAATACGCGATACACGTGTCTTTATTGAAAGCTTTTGTGATTAAAAATTTCAGGAAAATATCTATAAGTGAGAAAGTTGACATTGCCCCGTCTACGCATGCGCACAATAATCGTCTTGGCTGAGGTGCCAGACTTATAAACTACCGAATGCAAAAACAACGAACTATATATCTTGAAAACCAGGTTGATCACGAAGGAATGAAGAAATTCTAGGGAATTTAGAGGAAATTCCGATAAAATCTAGAGGAAATTCTGAGGAAATCTAGAGCAAATTTTAAAGAAGTAATTAGGTAAGAGGTTTGTATAGGGAAGTAACGTTACTCAAAATTTTGTGTAAATTCGGAGACATTTAAGGCAATGCTAGAAATGTTAACGAAATGAAGAGAAATGTTGGCAATTTTTAAGCAATGAAGGAAATCTTCGTCCCCTAAAATAAGTCGTGAACAACCTCTGCTTGAAAACTGTAAGAGTAGTTAATACCTCGGACGGACGGACGGAGAAAGTGGACATAATAGCGCCTTTCAACATAAGTTTGAAAACCTGCTGACTAGTTTTTATATGGTTTCAGTGCTGAGATCTCCGTAGACATCAACCTCAATAGACAAAATAATCATTTTCAATTTGTCAGGACTTCTACTTGGGATCTCGCATTAGATCAAGGCCGGGTTTGGAAATCATGCTGAATCAGAAGCCTCTAATCTGCTGATCTACCTCAAAATATTAACCCGAAGTTCTGGTAGCGAGGAGGCTGGCCACGACTAAGTGTTGACTCTGAATGTGAATCAGAAGAATGTCCACTTAAAATTTTTCATAATTGGCGTAGATAATTTGGGGTATTTGAATTAAGTAATTAGCTGGTCAAAATGCCAAAGTTAAAAATTCGCGTGAAAGCTAGGGACGCGACCAGTTTTTTGCCCGTGTCATTCCAAAGTTGGCCTTTCAATGCGCTTTTTTGCAAAATTCTAAGAGCACGCGCCAAGAGAATTTCAATTTTTTTAGCGTAACGCAACGAAGTTGAGGTGGCGCTTATGTGCACGATTTTCCGTTGTCTGTCGGCAGTGTTGTAAAATTACGGTCATTTAGTTTCGTGACAAGTTGACCAGTCGTGACCGTTTAAATGACCGTCATGACCATATGAAAATTTTTAATTTGATAGGAACATCGAACATAAACATTTATTTTAATTTGATAGGATCATAAACATTTATACTAAGTCGAGTACTAAGTTTATTTACTAAAAATTAAATACAAGAGAA